CTTTCTGTGAATCATGTGTGCTTGGTAAACAACATAGAGTCCAGTTCCCTCTATCCTCTTATCCTAATATGACTAAGTGCTCCTCTGTGCTTAAATATGTGCATGCTGATGTTTGGGGTCCTGCTAGTGTTCCCACACATGGGGGGAAACAGTATTTCTTGTCCTTAATTGATGATTTCTCTAGGAAAGTGTGAGTTTATCTTCTAGAACATAAGTCTGATGTTTGTGAGAAGTTTAAAGCCTGGAAGTTACTTGTAGAAAATCACACTGGACAGAATGTTAAGACCCTTAGGACTGATAATGGCCTAGAGTTCTATAACCAAGAGCTTGACCAACTGTGTGCCACTTCAGGCATTAGGAGACATAAGACTGTGCCCTACACACCCCAACAGAATGGGGTGGCTGAAAGGATGAATAGAACCCTTCTTGACAAGGTTAGGAGTATGTTGTCTACCTCAGGTTTACCTAAGAAGTTTTGGGGTGAAGCAGTCACCACTGCCACCTATCTGATTAATAGATCTCCCTCTGTTCCCATAGGGGGTCAATGCCCTGAAGTTAAGTTTACTGGTGGGCCTCTTGACCTAACAAACCTTAGGGTCTTTGGGTGTGCTGCCTATGTTCATCAGAAAACTGATAAGTTAGATCCTAGATCCAAAAAGTGTGTGTTCTTGGGTTATCCTGATGGGGTAAAGGGATATAGGTTGTGGGATAGAAGTGTGCCTGGTTTTAAGGTGGTTATAAGTAGGGATGTAATTTTTAATGAATTTGATTTCCCTTACTTGCTTAAACCTGTTTCTGAGCATGAGCCTGAGAGGACACCTGTTGAGGTGGAGCCTCAGACTCCTTCTGTACCTATTATTCCTGCTGTTATGTATGACACTCCTCCTGTTGTTCCTGTCATCCCTTCTGATGTGCATGTTAATACTTTTTCTGATACTGCTACCTCCGGTGAGGTGGAGTTGAACTCAAGATGACCATGTGCAAAATGATTCTCTGTCTGGTGAGACTAATGTGTTTGATGATTCTGTTGAGAATGATAATGTTGATTTGCATGACTACCAACTTGTTAGGGATAGGGGTAGAAGAACCATTAAGAGAAAATCTGATACTTTGTCTGATTATGCTTTTACTGCGTGTGATATATCTGATTTTGCTTTTACTACGTTTGAGACCCTAGACCTAAATGAACCTAAGACCTATAGTGAAGCTATAAGGTCCAGAGAGTCTCAGAAATGGCTTGAGGCCATGAAAAGTGAGATGGACTCTCTAAGAGTGAACCAGACTTGGACCCTTGTTCCTAGACCTAATGCCAGCTCAGTGGTTGAGTGCAAATGGTTGTTTAAGGTCAAGGAAGAACTGGGTAATAACATTAGGTATAAGGCCAGGTTAGTTGCCAAGGGGTTTACTCAAAAAGAGGGGGTAGATTATGCCGAAATCTTTACTCCTGTAGTTAAGTTTACTACTGTTAGAATCATGTTGGCATTGGTTGCTCACCATGATTGGGAGATGAAACAAATGGATGTCACCACTGCATTTCTGCATGGTGAATTGGATAAGAAAATCTACATGACTCAACCTGAGGGTTTTGTGGATCCTAAGAGGAGTGACCATGTCTGTCTGCTTAGGAAGGCCTTGTATGGCCTGAAGCAATCCCCTAGGCAGTGGAATATTAGGTTTGACAAGTGTATGCAGTCTATGAAATTTGTGAAATCTGCCTGTGATCATTGTCTTTATTTCAAGAATACTAATTCTGTACCTGTGTTCTTGTTAATCTATGTGGATGACATGTTGATTATTAGCCCTTGTCTTAAATCTATTATGTCTGTTCAAAAATGTCTTTGTGAGAACTTTGCGATGAAAGATCTTGGTGATGCCAAGAGGATACTTGGGATTAACATTATTAGGGATAGGAGCAAGCATACTCTTGTTCTAAATCAGATTTCGTATGTTGAGAAGGTTTTGAGTAAGTTTAATATGTCTTCTGCTGCACCTGTGCATGTTCCTCTTGCCTCTCACTTTGTGCTAAGTAAGAATCAGTCTCCTAAGACTGATTCTGAAATTGAGCTTATGAAGTCTGTTCCTTACTCCAATGCTATAGGTTCTGTGATGTATCTGATGGTTAGTTCTAGACCTGATATTGCCTATGATGTGAGTTGTTTGAGTAGGTTTATGTCTAATCCTGGTATGCCTCATTGGAATGCTTTGAAATGGCTTTTGAGATACTTGAAATTTTCTGCTAATCATGGTTTGATTTTTACTAAGTGTACTGAAGGTGTGAAACTGAGTGATTATGTTGACTCTAACTATGCTAATGATAAAGACAATAGGAAATCTACCACTTCCTATGTGTTCACTTTGTGTGGGTCGTGTATTAGTTGGAAATCTCAGTTACAACCAATTGTTGCCTTATCAACCACTGAAGCTGAGTATGTTGCAGCTACAGAAGCTTTCAAGGAAGCCATCTGGTTAAGTCGTCTTGTTGCTGAAATAGGTTTTCTCAAACAGGATGTTACTGTGTTTTCTGATAGCCAGTCTGTTATCCAGCTTTGCAAAAACCCTGTTTTTCATGACAGGACCAAACACATTGATGTGAGGTTCCATTTTATTCGTGATGTTTTAGATGCAGGTAAAGTGAAGCTGTGCAAGATACCCTCAGAGTTCAACCCTACAGATATGGGGACAAAGTGTCTATCTGCTGAAAAACTTTTGTCTTGTAAACGAATTTTAAATTTGGACTGCGGTTAACTCTGTTTGCAGGTTTTGGGTATGTTGGAGGGTAGATTCTTGAAAGCGTAGTGCTTGAGAGAATCTACTCTCACGATTAGGGAGAGTACTTTGGGTACTTCTCCAATTTCCTTTTGGGAGTATTTTGTGTATCTCCAATTTGTTTGCCAGTTATGTCTTTAGGATATCACTGGTGACCCAGCGATGATGAACCACGTGCTCATGATACTTTGTGATACCATGCACCACCAATGATGGCCAATAAGGTGGAGAGTGTGGAGGTATTGGCCCCACGGGCCAAGACAGCCCTCTCTATCCTATTGGGCTTGTTTGCTTACCTCTGCCCTGGCCCATGTTGTTCTGCCGCTAGCCCTTCTTCTGGAACCCTCCTTTAGGGCTTCCCCTATGGCCGGGTACTTAAACTCCTCTATGCCTTTGCTTGACGTAGAGGTCTTCGGTTAGAGAGAGAGAGTGAGGTTAAGAGAGAGTGAGAGAGACCCCTGTCTCTTCTCCGTTTGAGTCCCTCTGTGGTATTCTCTCTGTGCCTCCCCTTTTCTGACCTTTGGCGTGCGTTGAGATGGTTGGGCTGGTCTGAGTGTTCTTGTCCCTTCCGGTGGTGCTTTTGGTGTGTGTGCTGTATGAGCGTGGTCTGAGCTGGAGAGGTGAAAACCTGACAGTATTTGTTGATGTTTTTTTTTTGTTTAATAATTTTTTGCCAAAACTTGTGTGATATTCAAGCTTGATAGATGTTAACAGTGTAGATCAATTTGTTTAAAAACATGCTCGAAATATGTGTTTGATTTGATCTTAATTTTTTAATTTCTGATTTTACAAATTGAAATATATTTCTTGATTTTATTTCTGATATTGATTATTATCAATATAAGCGTTGGCAGGTTTTTGGGTTGTGTATTTGTTTCATGTTCAGGTTCGTTTCATTCATTGTAAATTGTACGGAGTATTTATTTAGGCTAGTAGTTGTTGTTTTCCCTGAGTTTTTTTCACTTTTTCATGCTTCTTTGGTTCAATACAGTGACCGTTTCTTGTTGTATTCGTACTGCTTTGGCATTTATTTTGCTATATTACCAGCTTTTTGGGTTTATTTCCCTTGTTTTTTCATAGGTTTTTTGTGTATTCCTGTTATATTTTTTCTTCAATTGTTGTTGTAGTTTTCTGGTGTAATGTTCTTCTTGATTTTCTTGGATGTTATTTCCTACGTAATATTTTCACTTTTAATGTCCTTTTTCTTTTGTGTGTCACTGTTTGTGTTGTTTTGTTGTTTCTATATGTTTTAGCACATTCCTCGTCTGAATGGATTATCAGGAACAAATGAATATGGAGTACTTGTTAATTAATTAATACCGAGTAATATTTTATCATTGTTCTTTTGGTAATTTCATACTCCGTAATTTCGACTTTATAATAGCTAGTTTTGCTAAATATGACTATTTAAAACTTGCATCTGCTATGTTTTAGCACATTCCTATTACAATGTTTTCCATCTGCAAGTTTTCATGAAACAGCTACAATATTTTCCATCTGCAAGCTTTTCAGTCAAAAAATCTGAAAAGTTTATAAAAGATTTTTTCAACTTGTCTTGTCAAACATAGTTATAGAGGGTACATTGACTTATTTACAAAGTAGGTGTTTGCTATGGTACCCAACAAAAATAGGAGGGTATTTCATTGGTCCAACTCAAAGGTTTACATTTTATTTGCATTTACCTTGTTCAATTGAAAATTTTTTATTGGTCCATACCATCAAGTAAATACGATAGTACGGAGTATTAAGTTTCTACCCTTAATACCTTTATTTTAAGTAACAATTTGTTCTCTAGTTCTTTGAGCAACTGGATTAGTCCGTGGTTGGCGGGGGAATCCGGCGGTGGTAGAGGCTGCGACCGAGACCGCCAGAGCTGGCAGCAGTGGCAAACGTTCTGGGAAAAAGTTCTGGATTTTTTGCACCGACAGACCTCTAGCAACCGTAGATCGACGCGAATCTTGATGTTAGAGGCGGCGTCCGACGTCCGGCGTAGTTGCGACGGCCGAGGTCGATGGTGGCAAGTAGCAGTGGGCGGCAATGGGTTGGGTACTACAAGGATATTTTAGCCTGATGTCAGGACCAACCAGTCCGTGACACTAATCTCTAAAAAAAACTCCTCTTTTTTGAGAATATTCAAACAACTACTCCTATTTTTGTTTTTTTGTAGCGTTTTTGTCAGCTTATAGCTGTAAATGAACACACTAATATACTACAAATATGCAAAGCAGAATGGAGCACAACTCAACATATATTTCGTATGAACTGATGTGGGCTTTATATAGCCTTTACAAAGTGAATATTAGCCATACAAAGCAAACTAATCAGATCCTATAATGTAGCTAAGTGTTTGAACGTGCAAAGAATAGAAACAAACTGCTCCAACTATTCCCTAATTAATAGCTAACAAAACAAGACTTATTCAAACATAATATTAAGGTAATATCAAAAAATTTCTCCACGTCTGCAACTGCACTATGTATGTTGAACTTGATCACTTTCAACACCACCCCTTGATCCAAGTTCACACATTCCAATTCTCTTCATAAAATGATAATGCTTCACATGGTTTAGAGCTTTAGTAAACAAATCTGCATTCTGCCATTCAGTTCCACAATACTGAAGCCAGATTCTTCCTTCTGCCACAAGCTGCCTAATAAAGTGATATTGCACATCTATATGTTTTGTTCGTGAATGATAGGCTGGATTTCTTGCCATTGCTATGGCTGATTTGTTGTCACACCATAGCTCAAGTTCATTAGACTGTTTGCAACCCAAATCCTTCAATAGTTTCCCAATCCATAGAGCCTGCTTGGCTGCAGCCCCTGCAGCTACATATTCTGCTTCTGAAGAGGACAATGCAACTGTTTCCTGCTTCTTTGAACTCCAAGTTATGGCTCCAGAACCTATGTCAAACACAGAACCGGATGTACTCTTTCTATCATCAATACACCCAGCCCAGTCGCTATCTGTGTAGCCTCTCAGTTTGCAATCCTTCACACTGCAATACCATAAACCATACTCCAATGTTCCAGCTACATATTTCAGAATCCTTCTTGCTGCACCAAGATGCTGCCTGGTTGGACTCTGCATATACCTTGATACAATGCTAACACAATAAGCTAGATCAGGCCGAGAATGAGTAAGATAGTTCAACCCACCTACCAAACTTCTATACAGCCTAGCATCTGCTTCTTCAGTTCCATCACACTTTTGTAACTTCTCATTAGTATTCATAGGCGTCTTGACAGTCTCATAGTCCACCATATGAAACCGTTTGAGTAAATTTAAGGCATACCTCTTTTGGCAAAGAAAAGTCCCATCAATACCTTGCTTGACCTCCAGTCCCAGAAAGTATTGGAGCAGCCCCAAATCAGTCATCTCAAATTGTTGTGTCATTGAGCCCTTGAAAGAATCTAGCATGCTTTGGGAAGAACTAAAGTAGATAATGTCATCAACATATAAGCATACTATAATGAACTCATGCATACCTTCTTTCTTTACATACAAAGTAGGTTCATTATCACTTCGTACAAAGCCAGTCCCAATAAAGAAAGAGTCAATTTTGTCGTACCATGCCCTTGGGGCCTGTTTCAAACCATATAGAGCCTTTTTGAGTTTGTAGACATTATCTTCCTCCCCTTTCTTCACAAAGCCAACTGGTTGCTCTACAAATACATCCTCAAGTAGGTCACCATTGAGGAAAGCTGATTTTACATCTAACTGATAAACAGGCAGTTTCCATTGAGCTGCTAATGCCAACACTATCCTCACAGTTTCAAATCTGGCCACAGGTGAGAAAGTTTCTTCATAGTCAATACCCTCTTGCTGAGCATACCCTTTTGCTACCAGTCGTGCCTTGTGTTTTGAGATACTTCCATCAGAGTTATATTTGGTTTTGTATACCCATTTCAGTCCTATTACACTCCTATCCCTAGGTAGTGTAACAAGATCCCATGTCTGATTCTTTTCTATGGCTTTAATCTCTTCTTCCATAGCTTGTGTCCATTCAGTATGAGTAGCAGCTTCCTCATAATTACTAGGTTCTGTGACAACAAGAGCAAATGAACATGAATCATAGATATCAATTAAGGATCTTACTTTTCTTGGCAGTTCACTGGAAGAACTATCTGAATCCTGGGTGCCATCAGTGGTATGAGAATGTGGATTCAATGGTGTAGTTGGAGGAGAAGAGGTAGTTGAAGCTGAGGGACTTGAGATTGGAGTCTGCACTGGAGTCTGGTCAGGATCTGTAGCAGTGTCAAAACTGATAAACCTTTGTGTTTCTTCCTCGTTCTGATTTTCAGTCTTCCAGTCCCATGCTGCATCTTCATCAAATATGACATTCCTACTAATAATAATCTTATCAGTAAGAGGATCATACAATCTGTAAGCTTTTGACTGTGTTGAGTAGCCAACAAAAATGCATTTGTCAGCTTTGTCATCTAACTTGGTTCTCAAATTTACAAGGGTGTATGCTATGCATCCAAATATCTTCATATGACCCACTGATGGTTTCTTCATCCTCCATACTTCAAATGGTGTTGAATTTTGGACTGCTTTTGTTGGTGAGATGTTAAGAATGTATACAGCTGTGGATACTGCCTCACCCCAAAACTGATTTGGCAGACCCTTGGCTTTTAGCATACTTCTTGCCATCTCAACAACAGTCCTATTCTTCCTTTCAGCCACCCCATTCTGCTCTGGGGTGTATGGGGCTGTAAATTCCCTTCTGATTCCTTGCTCATCACAAAACTCTGTAAAAGCATTGGAACAAAACTCCCCTCCTCTATCAGTTCTAAGTGCTTTTACTAGTTTTCCACTTTGTTTTTCAACTAAAGCCTTAAACTTTTTAAAGTTATCAAAAGCTTCTGATTTGGTCTTTTGAAAGTAGACCCAAGACATTCTACTACAGTCATCAGTAATCATAAGAAAGTACTTGCTACCCCCTAGTGATTCAGTTTCCATTGGACCACATAGGTCAGCATGGAGCAGCTCAAGACAATCAGTGGCTCTCCATGACTCTCCAATAGGAAATGACCCTCGAGACTGTTTTCCATATATACACCCTTCACATAATTCAAGTTCACCAATTCTAGGGAGACCTCTTACAAATCCCCTAGAACTGAGAAGCTGTAAACTGTGTATATTAAGATGTCCATACCTCAAATGCCACAATTTGGCATTATCTTCTCCTTTGACAACAAGAGCTCTTCCACAGTGTATGGATAGATCTAATGGAAACAGCTTGTTCTTTCCCATTCCAGCTTTCAACAATCCTTCATCAGTGCTTCCATCTTTAATAGCACACATTCCATTTTCAAAAGTCACTGAGTAGCCACCACTCACAAGTTGTCCAACACTAAGCAGATTGTGGGCTAATTGTGGCACATATTGTACATTGGACAAGAGTTTCTTCTTCCCTTCTTCAGTGTGTACTGAAATGGTTCCAAGTCCTTCAACTGTAAGCTGCTTGCCATCACCCAATCTGACAACACCTTTTCTTGTGTCATCAATGTCCTGGAACATATCCTTGGATCCAGACATGTGGTTAGAACAACCACTATCAATATACCAAACTGTTTCTGCATTGAGGTCTGAAGTATGTTGAGCCAAAAACAGTTGTTCTTGTTCTTGTTCAACATAGTTAGACCTGTTTTCTTCTCTCTTGGGGGCAAGATCTGGATTCTTTCTCCAGCATTCTGCTTCCTTATGACCATTCTTGTTACAATAGTAACATTTAATAGGAGGTTTAGAATTGCCTTGTCTTCCTCCATGGCTGGAGGAACCTCTTCCTCTGCCTCTTCCACCATGACCACCTCTGAAGCCTCCCCTACCTCTTCCTCTTCCCCTATTTGGGTACTGGAAGGCTTGATCATTTGTTGATTCACTCTGGGCTTGAAAAGCTTGTTCTTCATTCTTTTCAGCCTCACCTCTGTGTCTTTCTTCATATGCCTGAAGAGATCCTTTGAGCTCTTCAAAGGTATAGGTTTCCATATCCTTGGATTCCTCTATTGCAGTCACCAATTGCCCAAACTTGGATGTTAGACTTCTCATAACCTTACTTACAACTTGTTGAGAGTCAATGTCTTCCCCATATGTCTTCATCTGCTGCACAGTTGTGGTTATTCTGGAAAGGTAATCCTGCACAGTTTCCTTGTCCTTCATCTTTGTTGCCTCCAATTCTCTTCTTAATGATTGCAACCTCACTTGGATTACCTTTTTGTCTCCTAGGTACTCCTGTTTCAGGATGGTCCATGCTTCTTTGGAGGTGGATGCAGCTGCAATTCGAGGGAACACCATGTCATCTAGCCCTTGTTGGATGAGATAAAGGGCTTTTGCGTCCTTCTTTCTTTTGTCTCTGAGCAGTTGATCAGGATCTTCTTGTTGATCATCAACGAAGCCATCCTCTACAATGCTCCACAACTCCTGGGATTTAAAGAGTGTTTTCATCTTTAAACTCCAAAAGTGATAATTCACTCCCTTGAATAGAGGGAGCTGATTTGCATTGATACCCATTCCATTGCTTTGCATCTTGTATTATTTGTAGTATTTTTTTGGTTCTAAACTCACTCCTGTTTTGATTAGTCACTCACAGATCTAAACTCTTAACAAAAAACTCTCTCAAAGGCCAAAGGATCGGCCTGTAGCTCTGATACCAAATGTCAGCTTATAGCTGTAAATGAACACACTAATATACTACAAATATGCAAAGCAGAATGGAGCACAACTCAACATATATTTCGTATGAACTGATGTGGGCTTTATATAGCCTTTACAAAGTGAATATTAGCCATACAAAGCAAACTAATCAGATCCTATAATGTAGCTAAGTGTTTGAACGTGCAAAGAATAGAAACAAACTGCTCCAACTATTCCCTAATTAATAGCTAACAAAACAAGACTTATTCAAACATAATATTAAGGTAATATCAAAAAATTTCTCCACGTCTGCAACTGCACTATGTATGTTGAACTTGATCACTTTCAACAGTTTTAGTCGAGGATTATCTCATTAAAGTACCCATTAAACAGAAAAAACTGAAGACAGTACATAGTGTGAGACTGTAGGTCAAATCAAAGCCAGAGCGCACCCGCTTTCCTCAGCAGAGGCACTAGATCGCCTGCGATATGAGCCGCCAAAACCTTGTCCAAGTCACCAAAAAGCTTCCCGCCGATGAAAGCCGTCGGGAACGACGGCAACTGTGCGGCGGGATCTCCGGTGCAGCTGAGAATCTTGGAAAGCTGGCAGGTGACCGCGACCTCGTCCTCCTCATCGACGTCGTAAATGGCGGGGTTGACGCCGAGACCTACGAGCAATCGCTGCATGACGTAGCACATGCAGCAGCCGCGCCTTCCAAAGACGATGATCGCATTTTCCGCCACAAGAAGCGCGCAATCGCTGTCGCCGCTGCTGGAATCGCACGAGCCTTCGCTCGAGGTGGCGCCGGAGTTATTCTCCGACCACGGCGATGTGTGCGGCTGTTTCATGGCTGAAATTGGGAGAGGAGCTTTGCAAAGGGTTCAGGGAAGTGTTTCAGGGATCGAATGACGACGTTTAGATCGTTATACAAAGTACTGCGTATATTATAGGGGAAGGAGATTGTACAGTCATGCATGACGTATGTGTATACGTCACAAACTGGTATAATAATGAATTAATAATAAAGCAAAAGCACATGATTGCTAAAGACAAAACAATATAACAACATTTTATTTACAGGTAATTTTGGTACCGTAGAGATGGGTTACTTGACCATACAACTTGGCCGGCAGTAGTGACGCCAGCACTGACGACAACTCTAGTGTTTTCATTGAGAAAAATTAAATCTATAGTTTTATGTACTAGCATAAAATTACCCCTTAGATTTATTTTTGTTTATTGTTAATTTTATTGAAGTAAAATTTTAGAAGATAAAAGGTCTAAAAGGGAGAAGAAACAAATTAAAGATTAATTGAGTTGCTATAAAAAAAATCTACAAATAATTTGTGTATAAAAATTAAAGTGATTTTGTTTCTAATCTTAATTAATTTGACATATGCGTAACTACTTTTTTTTGACTATACAATTTCTCTCACAAATAATAAAATGGTAATTGACTTTTAATTTGACATTTTTACATTGTTTTGCTACATTTTTGTTGAATATAATATCGGAACTGAAAAATTGAAATAATGCTCCATAATTTTCGCAAGTAATTTTTGAGAATTTACATTTAAAAAATTTTGGAGATGGCAAATTCAGGGTAAATTATATCGTACACCCGGGTGTATGTGTACACCCGGCTATTTTGTGATTCCATGCAACTCTGAGGCTTCTTCTCCGACTCCATATATGTTGCACGAACCTGCTGTGCCTGGAAACCTTAATTGTCCATCCGCCGCTTCAGTCAACGAGCATCCAGGAGTAGGGCCACATGAGAGACGAGCGGACAACCTATCAAACCAGCCAGTTCGTTCGCCCACTTGTACCGGCCACCAGGGCCGGCTAGAGCAATTATGAGGCCCTAGACGGTCATGTAGAAATTTTGTTTTAAACATGTTTTATATAACCCAATGATATAAAAAACAGCAATGGCAGATTTGGAAATCATGTAGAAATTTTGTTTTAAACATGTAGAAGATTTGGACACTTCAATCTCAATGCCTTAAGATTACTATACCAAAAGAAGATGATGAGAGACATACCACTATTGGATGAAAAAGGAGTATGTGAAGGATGTCTGGTTGGGAAGCAGCACAGGCAGCAATTTCAAACAGTGAAAACATGGAGAGCCAAACAGATACTACAACTTGTCCACACCGATGTTTGCGGTCCAATGCGTACGTCTTCAATTTCGAAGAATAGATACTTCATACTCTTCATCGATGATTACTCAAGGATGACATGGGTGTATTTTTTCCAAGAAAAATCCGAAGTCTTTAGAATATTCAAGAGATTCAAGAACTTCGTGGAGAAACAGAGTGGTCATCAAATCAAGAAGTTGAGAAGCGATCGAGGTACCGAATACAACTCAAAAGAATTTGACAAGTTCTCTGAAGATGAAGGTGTAGAGCATCAACTAACAGTAGCATACACTCCACAACCAAATGGGGTGTCAGAAAGGAAGAATCGAACAGTCATGGAGATGGCGAGATCCATGCTAGCTGAGAAAGGACTGCCTAAAATGTTCTGGGCAGAGGCAGTGTATACTTCAGTCTACCTACTCAACCGATGTCCAACTAAGGCCGTTCTGAATAAAACACCTATTGAGGCATGGTCGGGACAAAAGCCTTCAGCCAAACATTTGAAGGTGTTTGGAAGCATATGCTACATCCATGTTCCATCTGTAAAAAGGCACAAGTTAGAAGATAAAGCAGAGAAGGGCATCTTCCTCGGCTATAGTTCCAAATCCAAGGGATATCGAATCTACAATCTCGAGACAAAGATGTTGGTTACAAGTCGAGATGTGGAGTTTGACGAGCAAGCCTCTTGGAATTGGGAGACAGAAAAAGTTGAAAGAAAGACAACTACTGCCTAACTAGAGGAAATACCAGAAGAGCAAAAACATGATCAACAAAGCCCCACATCTACTCCAAGATCCTCTTTTGAAGCTAATACATCAAGAAATCACGACTCCTCGTCAGAGTCCCCACCTCTACGGGTAAGAACTCTTGCAGACCTATATGAGTCTACTGACATCTATGAAACATGCAACTTTTGTTCCTTGGAGCCACATAGTTACACTGAAGCCTCCAAAGAAAAAGTTTGGATTAAAGAAATGGAGGAGGAGATCAAAATGATAGAAAAGAATGATATTTGGGAAATGGTTGATCTTCCACATAACAAGGAGGTTATTGGAGTCAAATGGGTGTACAAAACGAAGTTGAACCCCGATGGCTCAATTCAGAAACATAAAGCAAGGCTGGTTGCAAAGGGTTATGCTGAAATACCGGGAGTTGACTACACAGAGACATTTGCACCAGTTGCTTGGATGGACACCTTAAGAACACTCAGAGCTCTTGCAGCTGAGAAGAAATGGAAAATTTATCAGCTAGATGTCAAGTCAGCCTTTCTAAATGGAGAGTTAAGAGAAGAAGTGTATGTGGAGCAACCAGAAGGATTTATCAAAGAAGAAGGAAAGGTTCTTCGTCTAAAGAAAGCGCTTTACGGGCTTAAACAAGCTCCATGAGCCTGGTATAGCAAGATTGATGGATACTTCACGCGTCAAGGTTTCAGGAGGAGGAAGAATGAGGCTACATTATACATCAAATCCCAAGGTAAATCTGACATTCTCATCGTCTCTCTATATGTTGATGACTTAATTGTCACGGGAAATAATTCAAAATTAATTCAAAATTTTAAGAGAGACATGACGAACACTTTTGAGATGAGTGACTTGGGATTATTGCACTACTTCCTTGGCATGGAGATAAGTCAAGAAGAAGAAAGCATCTTCTTATCTCAAGAAAAATATATTAAAGACATGCTAAAGAAGTTCAAGATGCAAGATTGCAAGGCCGTCGTTACTCCATTGGTTCCTAATGAGAAATTGAAGAAAGAAGATGGGTCAAAGCAGACAGACGCTACCAATACCGGAGTTTGATTGGGAGTCTACTCTACTTAACGGCTACGAGGCCGGACATAATGTATGCTACAAGCTTTCTCTCAAGGTTCATGGAAAGTCCTACTGAGACTCACTATGGAGCGGCAAAGAGACTCCTTAGGTGCCTACAAGGAACCGTCAATCATGGTATTTGGTACAAAACAAGTCCTGACTCAGGACTAATTGGATATAGAGACAGTGATTTGGATGGATCATAAGATGACATGAAAAGCACCTCCGGTTACGCATTTAAGTTGGGTTCGGGAATTTTCTCATCGGGATCAAAGAAGCAAGATTCCAATGCACTATCGTCAGTAGAAGCCGAGTATGTTGCAGCAGCTGGAGCAGCGTGTCAAGCTATATGGCTGAAAAGAATATTAGAAGATATGGGAGAATCACAAATCTCTGCGACAGAGATCTATTGCGATAACAAATCTGCTATTGCGATGGCTAAAAATCCAGTTCAGCACAATCACACTAAGCACATTGATATCAAGTATCACTTCTTGAGAGATATCCAAGCAAAAGAGCATATTGAGATGAGGTACTGCCCAACAGATCAAAAACAATTGGCAGATATTTTCACGAAGGCCCTGCCAAGAGATAAGATTCCAGTTTCTACGAAGATTGCTTGGAGTTACCGACAAATGCATCAAGGAGGAGTATTAAATAGTGATGCATTTATTTAGAATATTCTATGTAGTTAAAGCTAGAAATGTTCTAGAGCGTTAAGACAAATAATGTTCTAGAGAATTATCTACTATAGAATTCTTAAGTAGAGTCTAGAATAATTAAAGGTAGAATACTCTAGATTCCTAGCATTTAATAAGGATCTAGAATGATCCTCTAGCACCTATAAATAGGACCTTATGTACTCATTTGCTCAACAAGCAAACCAAGCAACATGAATACAATACTACTTTTCTAGAGACAAGAACTCTACTCTAAAACACATCCTCTACACCACATCTAACTAAAATCACTTATCCTACTCATACACCCACAATCCCTTCTATTTTCTAACATTCATATTTTGGAAGTTTGAGTTTTAAATGTTTTTTTGTAAATATGCACTTCATCTCCCATTCAACTAGTGCAGAAGAAAGAGTAACTGAAGGAGACCCTGTGGCGGAATTGATTTAAGTGGATGGGCAATATAGGTATTTAAAATATATATACGGAACGAAAATATATACTGAGACCATATGGTGGTTGTGAATGACTAAAAGTTGGTTGTAAATAGAATTTCCCGTTTTTTTGATAGATGTTTTGAGGGATAATTTCCCATTTTAATTGAAAAAGAAAATCAAATATATGTTATGTAATGTATAAATATACACTACTACACTAGCCCAAACAAGGTCGCAAGACTTCCTGTCAGCCGTTGTACCTCTTTGACATTGCGGATAGCTTCCATGTTGATCATCTCTTGGATTTTTTTAGGGTTGGCATCAATCCCCTTCCGGCTCACCATGTAGCTGAAAAACTTATCTCCCTGTACTTTTTTTCCCCCGGAAGGCAAACCACCAAAATCAGTGGGGTAAATGCCGGGGGACATTTACCAAGTTTTATTAAGAATAGAATGTAGTAACAAAAAGGTGAGGGGACTAGGCCAAAACCTCACCCGAGAAGGCATTCCTTCTCCAAAGGTAAATAATAAGTAAACGAAACGAAAATAAGAATTAAACAGAATATCTAATAGAGGGAATATTAAATAGGTCCAAATTAAAAGCAATTTTAGCTTGACTTGGCAGATCACAAGCATCCCTTATAATCACAAATTGGTCCGGATGTAAGGTTGCAAGGAAATGGGTGGCCCAATTTCCTTCCATGTAAACTTGTTCGAAAGTAATCCCTTTCCTGATAATCAAATGTTTGAACTCAACAATTGCGGCCGACCATCTTCCCCTTTTCCTACCTGAGATATAATCAGTCAGTTCAGAAGCGTCGTATTCCACCTGAAAATCCATAAAGCCTTCGCCGATTACCGATCTTGTAGCCGTCATCAAGCGTGCACTTCTTCGGGTTCAGTAGGAGGTTGAATTTTTGCATGAT